TGTTTAGCCTTGGTGCTTCCATCGTTGCCCCGTCGCCAGACCCCACTGCTGCGCTTTCCTTCACCTTGGACTCTGGCGCTTCCCGGTGTTTCTTCCGTGACTCCACTACGCTGACGCCGCTTCATGTTCCTGCTGTAGTTTCTCTTGCTGACCCCTTCGGCGGTCCAGTAGTCGCCCGCAGTTCCACCACCCTTCCCTGTCCGGCGGTTCCTTCGGGCTCTTTCACAGGTCTGCATATCCCTCGTTCTCCAGGAACCTAGTTGGTGTCGGCTATCTCCAGGACCTTGGCGTTACCACTACGTTCCCTGGGCACGAGCGGTACGCTGTCTGTACCGAGGCCGCCACTGGTGCCCCCCTTTCCACGTTCCCCCGAGACCCGGTGTCCAGCCTGTTCACCCTGGACACCGTCACCCCCCCGGCTGGGGCGCTCCCTCAGGTGGTTGCGTCTTCCCAGGTTGGTGCTGCCTGCTCCTGTCGCTCCCTCACTCACCCGACTCTCCTGTGGCACCACCGCCTAGGTCACCCTGCGCTCCCGCGTCTGCGTCACATGTCCCAGCATGGTCTCGTCCTTGGTCTCCCCGGTTCGTTTCCCGCTTTTCCCTCCTCCCCCGCCCCACTGTGCACGCCTTGTGTCGAGGGTCGGCTTCGCCGTGCCCGTCACTCCTCCTCGTTTCCCCCTACCGCCGCGCCGCTGCAGACCCTTCACATGGACGTCTGGGGCCCCGTCCCCGTCCATGGGCCTCGTCGAGAGCGCTACTTCCTCGTGCTTGTCGACGAATTCACTCACTACACCACAGTTTTTCCCCTGGAGCGAAAGGCCGACGTGCCTGACGCTCTCATCCCCTGGCTTGTCTCTGCGCGTGTCCACCAAGGTCTCCCTATCCTGTGTCTTCACTCTAACCATGGTGGCGAGTTTGCCTCAAGTGTCCTTGGTCGCTTCTGTCGTGCGGAGGGCATCACCCAGACGTTCACCCTGCCGGACTCCCCACAGCAGAATGGGGTCGCTGAGCGACGCATCGGTTTGGTCATGGAGGTGACTCACACCTCCATGATCCATGCCGGTGCACCCCATTTTCTGTGGCCGTTCGCCGTGCGCTACGCTGCTCACCAGCTTAACCTGTGGCCGCACCCCCAACGGCCGCAGGTTTCGCCGACCCTTCTTTGGACCGGGTCTCCTGGTGACACGTCTGCGTTCCACGTCTGGGGCTGCCTTACTCACGTTCGTGCCTCTGGCACGGACAAGCTCACTGCCCGCACTCTTCCCTGTGTCTTCCTCGGTTTCCCCCCTTGACGCGTCCGACTGGCACTTCTACCACCCGCCGTCTCACCGGTTCTTTCACTCTCGCGACGTCACCTTTGACGAGTCCGTCTCTTTCTACCGTTGCTTCCCCCACCGCGGTCCCCCTGTCACTCCCCCCTTGTTCCTGGTCACTCCTTCCCCGGTGGTCCCTGCCCCCCCCCCCCTCCCCCTCCCCGTCTTGCCCCCTCTGGTGTGTCCCACGTCACCCCTCTCACGTCGGTTGTCCCAGTCGAGGAGTCCTCTGACTCTGGTGGTCCTGCGGCGCAGTCCTCGCCGTCTGCCCCCCCCCCCCCCCCCGGTGTCTCCTCCTCCACAGCCTCTGCAGCCGCTGTCGTCTCCTCCGCCGTCGCCGCCGCACTCGTCGTTACCGCCGCCGCAACCGCCGCCGTCGCAGCAGCAGTTCATCGACTCTGGGGGTGCCCGCGTTGGGGTGGGTGCTAGTTCTGGGGTTCCTGTTGTGGCCTGCCCCAGTGGCCCTGGGGGTGGTACCGGTGCTCGAGGGGTTTCGGGCTCTGGGGGTGTTACTTCTGGGGGTGCCGGAGTGGAGTGTCCCCGAGGTAGCCGAGGAGCAGCTTGCGGTCCCGGTGTTGGTGTTGTACCGCTGCAGCAGCAGTCCCCGCCGGTGTCAGCCCTTCGCCTGCTCGGCCTTCCGTCCCCTGACCTTGCGTCTGTTCCTCTTCTGCCGTCTCCTCCTCTTCCTGTCTACGGCCCTGTGTTCCCTCCGCCGGACTCGTCCCCGGCTTGTCTTCCCCCTCGCTCCCCCCTTGTGTCCCCTCCTCTGTCTCCTGACCCGACGCCTCCGTCTCATGTCTGGTCCCGTCGTCCCTCCCGCGCTCGTCCTGTCTCCCCTGTCACGCGCTCTCACCCTATGTTGCTCCGTTCCCGCGCGTCTCGTCCTCCCCTTCTACCGTCGCCTCCTCCGTCCTCTCTTACCGTTGCGCCTCCTCCTCTGTCTAACTACATTCGTGACGCTCGTCCTTTTGTTCCTCGGGTCCTCGCCTCTCTCGTTACCGACCCGTCCGTTCCGGTCTCGTGTCTTGACGCTCTTATCGCTGCGGTCACTGACTTCGCCTCTACTCGCCGCCTTGACTACGCCACCGCTCTGGTCACTGACCCTGCCTGTCCTCCGTCTGTCGGGGGTGCTCCTGCCCTCGGCAGTGACGTCCTGGAGGACCGCCAGTTCGAGCTTGCTTTCCTGTCCGAGGCTGCTCCCCATCTCTGTTCCATGCTGCTAGTCCCTGAGGGTGACCCAGACGCTTTCGACATCCCGACCCCTCACACTTACGCTGAGGCTGTTTCGGGACCTTGGGCCTCTTAGTGGATAGCTGCCATGGAGCAGGAGATGGCATCTTGGAGATCCACTGGTACCTTCGTCGATGCAGTTCCCCCACCTGGGGTGAACGTAGTTGACGACCGCTGGCTCTTCACTGTGAAGCGCCCTCCTGGTGAGCCGCCTGTGTTCAAGGCGCGCTCCGTGGCTAGAGGTTTCAGTCAGCGTGAGGGGGTGGACTTCTTTCAGACTTTCGCTCCGACCCCGAAGATGACTACTGTGCGGGTGCTGCTACACGTAGCTGCTCAGCGTGACTACGAGCTTCACTCCCTCGACTTCTCCACTGCGTTTCTTCATGGCAGCCTACACGAGCAGGTCTACCTGCGTCGTCCTCAAGGTTTCACTGGCACCTTCCCTCCTGGGACCCAATGGCTCCTGCGGCGTCCCGTCTACGGCCTGCGGCAGGCTCCCCGTGAGTGGCACGACACGCTGCGTGCTACGCTTGCTGACCTGCAGTTCTTTCCGTCCGCCGCAGACCCCTCACTCTTCGTTCATACTGGCCAGACTCCATTCTATATCCTTGTTTACGTGGATGATCTGGTCTTTGCCACAGCACACAGGAATGCACTGGCCTCGGTGAAGGCAGAGCTGCTGAACAGACACACCTGCACTGACCTTGGAGAACTGCGCCACTACCTTGGTTTGCAGATCTCCAGGGACAGAGCAGCGCGCACCATCACTTTGACTCAGTCACACTTGGTGCGCCAGGTCCTTCAGAGGTTCGGCCTTCAGTTCTCCTCTGCACAGCCCACCCCTCTTCCTGTAGACCACAGACTCTCCGCTCCAGTTCCTGAGGAGTCTGTAGAGCCCAGTGGTCCTTACGCAGAGCTGGTGGGTTGCCTCATGTACCTGATGACTTGCACTCGCCCAGATCTCGCATACCCTCTCAGCATCCTGGCTCACTTTGTGGCCACTGGCAGACACCGACCTCAGCACTGGTCTGCCGCTAAGAGGGTTTTGCGTTATCTTGCAAGTACATCGGGCATGGGGTTAGTGCTAGGAGGACGCAGGCCAGTGGTCCTTACTGGACACACAGACGCTTCTTGGGCAGACGGCGCCAAGACCCTCAGGTCCTCTCAGGGCTAATGCTTCAGCCTTGGTTCAGGTGCCGTCTCGTAGAGAGCTACCCGCTCCTCGTCTGTTGCCCAGTCCAGGTGTGAGGCCGAGATCTACGCAGGTGCCATGGCGGCACAGGAGCTCCGCTGGCTGACCTTTTTGCTCACTGACTTAGGTGAGCGGCCTAGCTCTGCCCCGGTCCTGTACGCTGACAACAGGGCCATGATCCTCCTGTGTTAGGAGCCTCGACTCGAGGGCAGAACGAAGCATATCCAGCTGCGGTACTTCTTCCTGCGCGAGCTACAGCAGTGCCGCCAGGCTCGCGTAGTACACTTGGCCTCCGGTGCCAACACAGCTGATATCTTTACAAATGCGCTTGCGCCTAAAGATCATCAGCGGCACTGTGTACAGCTCGGTCTAGTTCCTGTAGCCTCTCACTTGCTAGGGCCTTGACTTTGTATTGTCCTTTCAATATATTTACTCAGACTGGACTTGTGTCCTCTCACAGTGGCTGGACTAGTAGTGCCGCCCTGAGGTGCTTGTTCAGGAACTGCCCCTATGCAGTCTAGGGGGTGTGTCAAACATTTGTATCTCTAATGTTTGTATAGACTGTATAGGGTCACCTCTTAGACAGTACAACCCTTAGATGTATATCCTTGTACCAGGTTCTCTACTCATTTTTTCATCATTCAGTTCTAAGATGTCTGTACCACAGTACTTAGCCGATATTTGTCGATTTTTTTGGGGTGTGTAGGGGGAATGTCTGTACAATTAGGATTTGGCCATTTTTCTAGGTTGCTGTGTGTGTGGGGGTAATGTTTCTAGAGATTGGGGACTTCGCCGAAATTTCAGGGCTGTAAGGCACATGGATGTCGCACTCAGGGTTCGTATACGTTGCTCCATGAAAACTCAGTATTGGCATAACGCAATCCATGAAATCCCAAGTGTTTAAAAACTTACAACCCTGAAGGGGCTAGGGTTAAGAAAAGTCCAACTCTGAAAATTAAGGGTTGGCCAAATAAATACCCTGTGAAATCAGGGAATCAGGGTAAAATACCCTGATAGTGACAGGCCTGATGAGGACATTAATTCACCGAAATACATAGATGTTATATTTTAAAACACTGTAACGTCGCGGTAACCGGCTGACGTTGCAGCAGTGAACGTTGGGGTACGTCTCCCCTTTTTCCAGCATCTACGGAGAGCGTGGCAGCGGTACAGTTGAGTGCGGCGCATCACCCTGCCTCCGCGCCTCTCCGCTCATTTTCCGCCTCGCCTGCCTTTCTAGGGCTGTTCCATCCATTCCCCACGCAGCCTCCTGAAAAACGCAAACGCCATGGGTAGATTATCGTGCAAGATGCCCCTTCATGTATTTCCGTTTACGTCCTTACCGTCCGTGTCTGTAACGCGTATTTGTTGATCATCATCGGACGGCAGTCACCGCATCGACCGCTAGGCTCCGGCGTTTCTTGTTTGCGAGCGAGGGCTTTCCGCGTGCGCTTGTGTGCGGCGGCTTGCTGGGGTGCGCTCATGGCGGAGGGCGAGAGCGCATCGCAGCAGCCCCACTCGGATCGCGATAGTCCCTCCCGACCGCCGCTCAAGGCGCTCGGCGCGCAGGGGGACTCCGTAAAGCTCGGTGAGGGTGGTTCGTGCAACGGCGGTGTGATCGGCGAGGGCACGCGGCAGTCGGAGAACAACGAGGCCGATAGAGATCGGGCGAGAGAGAACGGTAGGGATAGGGATAGGGATAGGGATGGGGAGCGCAAGGCAGTGGAGGCGGAGAGTGTGAAGGCGCGCGCGCGGCCCAGCGGCAAGGTGGTGCACATGGCGCGCGCGGACCTCGTCAACCTCGCGGACCTCGACCGCGCGCTCGACCGCGCGCTCTCCCGCCGAGAAAAGCCCGCCGCCGCCCCTCAAGCCGCAGGGCCGGCGGGTGAGGGCGGCGGCAGCGACGCGGACAAGCTGGGGCACGGCCCGCAGGCCGAGGGGTCGGAGCGACCGGCGTGGGAGATCGACGTGAAGAACGTGGTGCTGAGAAAGCTGATCGCCAACGGCACGTTCGGCACCGTGTACCGAGGCACCTTCCAAGGAAAGGACGTCGCAGGTACGCCGCCCTCCCCTCCCTTGCCCGCCGCTCGCATCGCTGGTGGTGAAGCAGGCCGCTGCGACCAGCGCACTCGCTATAGCGGGCGGGTGCAGGGCAACATAACGTCGACCTCATTGTGGCGAAATGCGTGAACGCCACGCGTCCATGCTCTCCCTCCATGCCGCGTGCCATCTCCATCTAAGCTATGGCGCGTGCTGTGTTTGGGCGTGCGCGTGTGTGCGTGGCAGTGAAGGTGTTGGACTGGGGCGAGGAGGACACCATGTCGCGCATGCAGCTGGACCGCCTGAGGCGTGCGTTCAAGCAGGAGGTCACGGTGTGGAGCACGCTCTCGCACCCCAACATCACGCAGGTCAGCAGCCCCGCACGCCGCCGCTCATGCCGCTCGCTCTTGCACTCTGTGCCGCCACCTGACGCGGTTTGCCGTGCGTGCATGCGTGCGTGCGTGCGTGCGTGCGTGCGTGTGTGCGTGCGTGTGGTGGTTTCTGCGTGCAGTTCGTGGGGGCGTCCGTGGCGGACCAGGGCGGGTTCATGATCCCGTCGTTCGAGCGCGGGCGCGGCGGGCGCAAGGGCGACATCCGCGTGGAGGGCAGTCTGTGCTGCCTGGTGGTGGAGTACGTGCCGGGCGGCACGCTCAAGGACTACCTCATCGCCAACCGCCGCCGCAAGCTGCCGCTGCGCACCGTCGTGCAGCTCGCCGCTGACATGGCCAAGGGGTGCGGGGGGGTGGGGGGAGTGGGGGGCATGGGGGGTGTTGGAGTGCATGGCAGGCTGGGGGGGCAGAAGGGCGGCGGAATGGAGGTGGTGCAGAGAGTAGGCAGTGCATTGATCCCGTCTTGTCGCTCAAACAGGGCAGTAGAGCGTTTGGCGTGCAGAGAGTCGTAGAGCATTGTGCAACTGTTGATCCATCGCTCAACCTTGTTGAAGGGCATGTTCGTGCTCCTGGTGTCAAGTCCGAGGCTCAAATGATACGAGGTGGATATACGGGGTGGTGATTGCTTTTTCGCTTGTGTCACTTCGACCCTAGACTGCGCTTGGGCTGACCCAGTGTCCAGGAACAGAGCCTGGATTGTTTTGGACGCAACAGGTGTTGATGGGCCCTGACGCGCAGTGCTGTGCGGCGTGTGGGTGTGCGTGTGGCAGGCTGGAGTACCTGCACGGGCATGGCGTGGTGCACCGCGACATCAAGTCCGAGAACATGCTGCTCACAGCCAGCCGCCGTGTGAAGGTGGCGGACTTTGGCGTGGCGCGCATAGAGGCGGAGAACCCCAAGGACATGACGGGGGCCACGGGCACGCTAGGCTACATGGCGCCCGAGGTCAGCCCTTCAATACGCTGCTGCTGTGCCGCTGCCACCTGCTGCGCTGGCTCAGTGTGCTTTACTGCGTGCGCAGATCTTGACGGCTATGGTCTGATGCACTCGTGCCCCCTGTGCAGGTGCTGGATTGCCGGCCGTACAACCACCGCGCTGACGTGTACAGCTTTGGCATCTGCCTGTGGGAGATCTACTGCTGTGACATGCCTTTTCCCGATCTCGACTTCAAGGAGATGGCTGCTGTGGTCAACAAGGTGTGCACCACATGCGTCTGGCTCTTTCCTTTCTTCTTTAATGCACCCATATGAACGCAGGCACCCGCAACGACCCATGTGCACGCAGGCATCCGCAATGACCCATGCGAACCCAGTCGCTGTACCTCCAGACACGCACATGCAGTGTGATGACATGGCATGGCTGCCATTCCTCTCTCTGCATGAAGCAGCCACCTGTGTGAAGAATGCTCCCATCACCCCCCCATGCCCGCCCCTGTGTGGCAGGGTCTGCGCCCCACCATCCCAGGCATCTGCCCGCGGGACCTGGCGAGCATCATGCGGCGCTGCTGGGATGCGGACCCGAAGAAGCGGCCCGACATGGGGGAGGTGGTGGCGCTGCTGGGAAAGGTGGATGTGAAGCGCGGCAAGGGCATGGCGCCCATCTACGACATGCCCAACGACTCCATCTCCTGCTGCTGGGTCACATGAACGCCTCACGCCTCCTCTGCACACGCCACTCCACTGCAGCTTCAAGGACCGACGGCAGGTAGTGGGCGACATCATGTCCTCACAACACCATGGTGTTGCACCACTGCACTTCTTGTCACAATCAAGCCTAATTACACACTTCAAACTTAATGTGGCTTGAAGGGTGCAGTATTGTTCCATCAGCTAGAGTAAAGCTCATGTTGGTGCTTCGCTGTCACAAATGGTGATTACAATGTAAAAGAAAATATTGCTGCTTTGCTATCACTATTTTGTTGCGATACAGATTTAGGGGTATGTAAGTTTCCTCCCATACAGCAAAATATCCTGACTGTACTAGTGAGTCAGTTGACAGTCTGCACTGCAGTGTTGGAGTGTCGTGCAGTACTGAATGCAGAATGATCACCGAACAGGTATAGTGGCTGGTCGGAGCTCTGGTGACCAGACTGGTGACCTGACCTGACTGATCCGCAGCAGGAATGCACCTTGTTTGTGCCACATGCCACACGGCTAACTTGTGGGCAGGCAGATGGCTTGGAAGTGTGCCAGCTTGGAGTAGGTTTAGAAGTGATGATATTAGTCACAATCCACAGCATAATCGTTTTCTTTTCTGCTTTACAAAATGCCACATGTTGCACAGGGTTACAGTGGAAAACAGGCAAAACTGCTACTGTAGAAGCCTGCAGAATCTAATAGGACGTCCCTAATATTCCATGATGAGTCCATGACGCCGCTCTATTCCTTGGAAGTTTGAGCCTTCTCCCGCTCCCGCTCGTCCTTCTTTGCCTTCTCCCTGAGTGCGACACAGCACGGCAGCAGAGAAGTGTACACGACAAGATAAGCCTCACTCAGTGCTCAGGACCTCGCAGGGCAGGCTAGGCTCCTGAGGTCCAGGCAATGTCTACAGCTTCACTAGCCCTTTACAAGGCTAGTCTTACCACCATTGTCACCGCTACAATTCATGAATGATTCAACTATGCCACACGCTCAACATACAGTGCGGCAGAGAGCGAAACGAGGGTGGAAGAGAGGGAGGCAGTGGGTTGGGAGGCGAATGGGGGCTGACCTCTGTAGAAAGTCCTGCAGAAGCTCCTTGGCCTGGGTGAGCTTGCTGAGCAGCCCTCGGTACACGTCCAGGTCCCGGTTCACACTCATCTGGCTGATGCCCAGCGCCTCACACAGCTGCACATGGGCGGCACGCGGCAGTGCAGCACAGCCAGAGTAAGATCAGTGCATCCCGCACATGGACACCATCTCGCATATTGGTTTCTCGCTGTAGCTTCGACCTTTGTTTGTTAGGCTCAATTTATAGTGTTCCAACCTACTAGGTTTAATCGAACCTAACTTGAGGGGTCATTTCAAAGATCCTTCGTTTAAACCTGAACTTTTACAATCTGGTCCTTCAGAACCCACCGTAACCACATAGAAACAGCACGCACGAAGTTCACGTGTACAGTGCTTTTCGTCTGACATAGCAGACGGCACATGTGCTATGGCATAATCCGAGAAAGGAAGCGAGCAAGTCGGATGTCTATGCATTAAATACGACTGTGTGAGAGAGCGAGAGGGGGCGAGGGCGTCAGAGAAAAGGAGGGAGGGGAAAGGGGGGGAAAGGCGGGGAGAGGGTTTGAGGCACCTTTTGGAGGGTGGCGGGTTCGGAGGCCTTGGCGATTTCAAGCAGGCGGAACAGACCCACGGCGAAGAAACGGCTGTAGTGGAAGGTGCCAGCCTTCGCACGCTCCGCAATTTCCTGGGGTCACGCGAGAGGGGAGGACAAGGTGGCGGCGGGTCAGGACTTTCTCCTCGCACGAACTACCAAGAGGCCACGGCTCGCACGTGCAAAAGCTTAACCTCTGATCTCATTTGAGTGATGTCGCTGACATACTGCAAGATTCGGAAGGAACAACCTGATGTGCAATGCGCTATTTCGCAGTGATCCTTATGCACACAGCTGAACAGGGGATAACCTTCCCCCATAACCACCGCCACCACTTTCAACCCCCCTCACTCTGACCTGGAGGCTGCGCTCGACGTCGCCCTCCCTGCTGCCCAGGTCGATCAGCTCGTCCGCCGTGAGCCCCGCCGCCCACTGCTCCAGGCGCGTTGCGTCCTCGCGGTACGTCTTGGGGCTCTCCTCCAGGGCCTCTGCGGGGGGGAAGGGCACACGGCGGCACGCACAGCGCACGGGGGCATATGAGGCCTGCACAGCCATTGTCTCGCCCTGGTAGAGTCCGCGCAGTCATCCGCGCGCTCACCCTACATGGGCGCATGCCCTGACCGCGAACAGCGATAAAAGCGCAGCACAACAGCGAGGTGCGCAGACGGGCGCGCGTACCGATGTAGGCCTTGAAGATGGCGTCGCGCTCCGCCGGCGACGGGTAGCCGTCCATGAGCTGGTCGAACACCGTCACGAAGCCCAGCGCCAACACCGGGTCGTACTTGTACGTGCGGTTGTAGCGCGTGAGGTGCTGCTGCACGAGAATCTCCTGAATCACACTGGCGCACGGCCGTGGCAGCAAGGGAAAAGATTCAAACCCATTCACCAAAAACCACAAAAGTTAAACTTGACAAACCAACCTCGCATTTCTGCCTCGCGACAACAAGTCAGCAGGCGGGGCTGTCATGGCAGCACTGCCACTGTGGACGACCAGCAGCCAGGGAGCCCAGCAGAGGGACGGCCAGACCTCTCAGATCTTCTGCCGGCGAAGACGCAACGCAGGGAGCAAATTTGGTGTGGGAGGAGAAAAGACGGGCGGTGCACTCACGTGTTGTAGATGCTGGGAATGGGCTTGGGGTACGCCTTGAGGAAGGCGGCCTTGGTGTCCGCCACCACAGGGGGGTCTGCAACGGCACAGTCGAGCCACGCACGGCGAGAACGAGTGAGTGCGATGGCTTTGAATAAGACGCACTGTAGCGCAGACTGCAGCCAACCCTGTGAGCCGGTAGAACAGCAGGGAAGCCTTACAATCACACAAGTGGGACGATAAGTGCATCTCCCGCAGGAGCGACAAACGGCCAGTAAAGGTGATGCGTTGAACAATCCTGTAATACCTGAGACTTCGAAAAACTTGAGGCCTCGAGAACTCAAATGTTCTGAGACAGCCTACCATGAATGGCTTTCTGAGCACATCGCACGACGGAGCTTCGGGACCGCACCGCTGATGCAGACTGGCGAGTCATAAACCGCTGCGCGTTCGGGAGTGATGCCCGAGATGAGGCAAACGACTTGGCATCTAAGCTCGAAGCCTGGAAAGCTACCACCCGAAAAAGGGCAAGGGACGACGATGTGGCGACAGCCATTGCTGCGATACTCTCGGCTCAGCTGGTTCAGGGTTAGCGGTTCGAAGTGAGGCACCAACCAAGAACGTAATGCTCTGGGAAGAAAACCGTGCAAGATGTGACAATTGCCCGCGAGAAAGAGGCTTTGAGGGAGGTGCCCAGCCTGGCTGATGATGACCCATGCGTCGCAGGTCATTCGAAGTGCCTCGTTTCTTCTCTGGGAGAGGTCGAGGGGAGGTGAGGGGAATTTGCCTGTGGAGCGTCCCGATTCTTCCAGCTACACCACCAGCCAGAAACCTGACTCCACGTGGACGCTTTAGAACGATGGGTTCATCAAAGATGACGTGGCAAAGACAGTACAGGCTCTGCGTGGACACTGCCTCTCCACTGAGCCGCCTGACCTGACCACCCTGTGCGACACGTCTTCTGTCAACCCATTCTTCTCCAATACTCCATAGTAGGGGTTTCCATGGCAAATTTAGGATGTTTCATAAACTGCAGAACCCCATCTTAGAACACACCTAAAAATGAGCATGCCTACTAAAATGATCACAAAGAAGTATGACGTTATGGATGAGAGACCTAAAATATATTGAAGTAAACGTAACTACACCAACTATAATTCAACAAAATTGTAATAATTTGTCAGGTATTGTAGGAGACTAAGTATAGAATCTGTAAATACTGACACTTGGAAAACCTCAAGTGTTAGCCTAGGATCTTTACTGGAATGGTAGACTAGTAAGACAGCGGAAGTGTTGTAAAATGTGATAGTCAAGGTTGAATAACCTGAGTACGTGAACTTGTGGGTAATCAAAAGTTAATTATGAAAAGACATAACAAGGATTCATAGTTTTTAGGAAAGTACCTGTTCGCTAATGCATCTGTTCGTCACTATTGCGCTATGCGCCCTAAACGATAACGAAGAGGTGCGACTGTTCGCGTGACTGAAACGACTGTCCTCATGACGAGCGCTATTTGCTGACGTCATCCTACAGACTTTTCTTCTACAGTAGGATTTGACACTATCTACCCAGGGCTGACGTTTCAAAAAAAGGCACTATGAGCCAACCCCCTGTTCAAATTATATAAGTTATAATTTAATATAGGCTTGGTAGGTTGTTACTGAACCTTTCTGTAGGGGGTACAAACCCCTCCTTGTACTCCCCTCTCTTCCTAATCCAACCCTCTTCTCTCTCGACACTCTCGTCCAGCTCCTAGCTAAACCCCGCCGCCACATTCATGGCGGCCTTGTTCCTGCCTAGTATCCTAGCCTAGAGCTTCTTTAACATGGTAACAGAGCAGGCCGTTTCCGGTCCTGCCTTCCACGCTTCCGCCTCGTCCTTGTCTTACGTTTCACTTCGTACCGTGCCGCTGATGGCGGCCTTTCGTTTTCCTGCCACTATGGCGGCCTTGCCTTTCCGTGCCGCCGTGGCGACTTCTCTGAGATGCCGCGGCGGCTTAGTCGAGCTACAGTCGCACCTCCGCCTCGCCGCCGCGGCATCGACGTCGCGCTGTGGCGGCGTCTTTTGGCTGCCGTGGCGGCGTCATCGGGCGACAGCCGGCCGCGCATCCGTCGTTTGGCTGCCGTGGCGGCGTCATCGGGCGACAGCCGGCCGCGCATCGTCAATGGTGCCGCCGGACCTGCCGCCCGCTCTGCAGCCGCCGGCGTAATTCTGGACTACGCCCCGCGCCCCTCTCCTCCCCCCCCCCCCCCCCCCCCTTCCTTGCTGCAGCCAACGACTACCTCATGCGGACCCTCCCCACCGCCAAGGTGACTGGACATGCCGCCGAGAGGGCGGGGGCCGCTGCACCAGCCTCTGACGTTCATGCCGCCGCTGCCGCCGCTGATGCCGCGGGCCGGGCGCCGCTGCACGCCGCCGCCGCCGCCGCTGTCGTCACTGTCGCTGCTGCCGCCATTGCCGTCCCAAGGGCCGTGGGAGCTGCCCACTTCCGGAGTCGTTGCGGCTCCTGCTGGAAATGGGGGTGCTGGGCTAGGGGGTGTGGGTGTGGGTGTGGGTGTGGGTGTGGGTGTGGGGGTGTGAGTGGGCTTGACACTCCCAAGCCTAGGGGGTGTGTTCAAATTATATAAGTTATAATTTAATATAGGCTTGGTAGGTTGTTACTGAACCTTTCTGTAGGGGGTACAAACCCCTCCTTGTACTCCCCTCTCTTCCTAATCCAACCCTCTTCTCTCTCGACACTCTCGTCCAGCTCCTAGCTAAACCCCGCCGCCACATTCATGGCGGCCTTGTTCCTGCCTAGTATCCTAGCCTAGAGCTTCTTTAACACCCCCCCCCCCCCCCCCCCAAAAAAAAAAAGTCTGAAGGGCCTTAAGCCGAATTTTTGGTAGTCTGAAATGTCAGGGTCCAGAACTCAGCGAGTCTGATTTTTTCAGGGTCCAGCACGAACAACCAGAGTCACACACGGGAAACACCCCCATTGCGAGAAACATTCCTCCCTCGTACACCTCCCAAAAAATCAGTTAAGTCCCTTGCAGCCATTAAAAATCCTCCCACAACCCCCCCCCCTCCGCCAATCAGCAACCCTGTCTACCCTCGTTTTGCGTAGTTGTTAAATCTGGGAAACGGGGAAGCCATTCCTAAAAACCGAGGGGGTAAAATCGCACTGCCACGGAAATCGAAACTGAGGGGAGGGGGAATCGACCCGATGGGGAAATGGGGAGGGAATCAAAATGGAGGGGAGGGGGGAAGCGAAACGGAGGGGAGGGGGGGAAGGGGGGGGGGTCGAAACGGAGAGGAGGGGGGAAGCGAAACGGAGGGGAAGGGGGAAGTGATCGAAACGGAGGGGAGAGGGGAAACCAAACGGAGGGGAAGGGGGAAGTGATCGAAACGGAGGGGAGAGGGGGAGCGAAACGGAGGGGAGGGGGGAATCGAAACGGCAGGGAGGGGGGAAGCTGGGGCATAGGGTGGTGGGAGAAATTTCGCGCCCTTGCAGCACCCCGGTTGGGAAATCTTGGACGTTAATCGCTACCTTCCATAGAACGATCGATATTGTCGAAACGATCGCAATCGATCGTGACCGTTAAATTTTGTTAGACTTTCAGTTGACCAATCGGGCAACAGGCGAGAATTTCCCTATGTTTAGAATGCGGAATTTACTCTCATTCCAATGCAGTTAAAAAATGAAAGTCTCATTCAAAACTTCTGGGTTGTTTCGGGTATTGGGGGGGACTGTATCTGACAACATGACTTAGTCGAAGTTTTCAATGGGTTGTGGCGTGTGTGGGGGATGTCTCTAGCGTTCCGGGACTTCGCCAAAATTTTAGATGGGTTGTGGGGTGTGGGGTGGGGGTTGTCTCTAGGGTTTGGGGACTTGGCCGAAAAGTTTTAGGGGTTGTGGGGTGTGTGGGGCATGTCTCTAGCGATTGGGGACTTCATAAAAATTTTCGAAGGTTGGTAGTGTACATAATGAGTCAGGGTTTGTACGCGCTGTGCTCTGGAAACTCAGTACTGGGTTAGCGACAACTATGATTTTCTCAGGATCCCTAGAATCGTACTCTGAAGGGATCAGGATTGGGAAAATGGGTTATCTGGAAATTCAGGTTTGGCAAAAAAAAGGGTCTGAAATTTCAGACTAATCAGACTAAATAGTCTAATAAAATCAACCCTGTATCTACCGATAATCGACTTACAGAAATGCTAAGTATCACAACACTCCCCTTCATTTCTGGAAGTTCGATAGTGTCACTTCTTGAAGATCCCGCAAAGCTTGTTACAGTACTGAAACTTCTGTCGTGTCAGCTTCTTCGTGAGGAAGTCGGCAGCCATTTCGTTGGTCGAACAATAGACCAATTGCATTCTCCCCTTCTTGACTTCATCCTTGACGAAAAGGTAACGCAGTGAAATATGTTTTGTCCTCTTGACGAAACCAGGCTGGTGCGCGATGCGAATTGCACTTAGGTTATCGAACTGAAGAGTAAATTGAGTACTCGTCGTCAACTTTGCTTCTTCCAATAGTTCCTGCAGATAAAGTCCTTCACGTGTTGCTGTGCAGACAGCGATAAATTCAGCTTCAGCAGAGGAGAGAGCAATCAGCTCCTGCTTCATCGAATTCCAAGAAATAGGCCCGATAGGTTCAAGCTCGTAGATGAACCTAGTACGTGAGCGTCGATTAGTAGGATCAGCAGCGTGGTCGGCGTCGACGAAACCGTGTAGGTATAGAGTGTTACAACCGACGACGTTGTAGAGTAAGCCGACATCAGGAGTAGAGATGAAATACTGAAGCGCGCGAAAAAGATCGAGTTGGTGTTCTTCGTCAAGACGACGTAGGAACTGTGCGAGTTGACTAGCTGAGTAGGCAAGATCTGGATGACAAGTAACAGCGGCGAAGAGTAAACAGCCTAACTGCTGTTGATAGGTCTGTAAACCGGTTGAATTCAACGGTGCAGTATTCTGTTCGTAGTCAGTCGGTAGAGAACGGTACTGTGTAGAAAATGCAGTAGGGGTGAGGTTGAAGCGGGCAGCGAGCGACGCTGCGTACTTCGAAGCGGTGAGGTGAATCGACGTCAGTGAGCAGGTAATGTTTAGACCAAGAAACTGTGAGACTGTGTCAGAGACGGTAAGCTGTAGAATTTTCTGTAATTTCAGTATAAAGGTATTCGCAAGCGAAACGGTAGTACTGACGTAGAGTACAGTGACGGAAAAAACTGTCCAGATGTTTGGCACTAATTAGGGTTTTTAGGCTTTCCGATCACGGTACATAAAGTCTTAATGTTTAATGGTGGTACACTTTGGGAGGGGCACATAGTGGATGTGTTCACAGCACTTAAGTCCATAGTAGTACACTGGATCTAACTTAGAGCCAAAAGTTATACAAGGGGGTCATGCGGACAGTTTTTTCCCGGGACAAAGCGCAAACTTCCGAACAGGTTTCTAGTACCTAGTACACCGACCCTTGGCCTTGATCACCACCCGCACCCTCCTAGGCATGTTATCTACGAGGTTAGTGCAAACCGTTGCAGAGATCTTGCACTCTTCTTGGACCCTCCCTTTTGCATAAGGGGGTGAGCACTAGGAAAATTCGAAGGATTTGAGCGTCTGCAAGAGTTTTGTGCACGATTTCTGTTTGAATGTTACGTATGAGGCTAGCCACATTGAGGTATGACCAAAGATGCCATTAGCCGATTGGTTCC